CAATATTTTTAACTCACCTCATATCCGAATGATTTCATTACAGTTTTTTCAAATTCTAAATTATTTTAAACGTAAAGAAATTGTATATGTGTATATATGTAAATAGCACAAATGTCATTTACACATTGTTTATCAAATTAAACATTTTGTTAAATTGTTCCAGAATTTTTAAAAACATTGAATGTATTACAGAAACACTGAAAGTTACTAAGTTATGATTTCGTTATCTTCCCCCTTAACTAGAAATCAACCACTGTTTTGAATCTAGCAGATTCCCATCAATTATTTTATATGTTAAGTTCCCCTCTCTATGCAATTATAATCTCTCTCTGAATTTGGATACAGGGTTATGGAGCAAAGAATAGCATATTATCTAAATCTATTTGGTTTCTGAATTTCAAATAGCAAGTAATGACAGTTTAGACAGAGAGAGATTTATGAAGAAATGTACCAGATCTCATCAATTCCTAAATTTGAATAGCAAAAATTTGGATAGTGAGAGATTGCTGAATGTGTGTGTGTTAAGTGTATAATGTTTCACTATATTTGCAACTTGTATACATGGATTCATAAAGTTTACATAAAGTCAGCTACTTTAACATTATGTCTTTTGTAGACTTATTCATGTCGACTTGGTTTATTTTCTTTAATTGCTATGTATTATATGATTATGGCATAATTTAATTATTATCTTCTTTTCTATATTATAAATAATGCTTCAGTGAACATTGTTCTATATTTTTCTTATGCTCAAGCTTTCCTAGGACACATACCTATGAGTACCACAGCTGGGTTGAGGGCTTAAACATTGTCAATTTTAAAAGATATTGTCAAAATCCTCTCTAACATAGTTTTACCAATTCACCTTCCACTCATAGTGGGAGCTTCCATTTTTCTACTTGCTTCCTAAAACTTGGTCATGTCAATATATGCTATATGTTTTTATTTGCGTTTCCTTGATCACAAATGAGGTTAGGTAGTTTGTATATTTTATTTATTAATTTTGAAATTAATTGTTTTGATAAAAAGAAAATATTCTTTTTTTGTGGACTGCCTATTCAACTATTCTACCCAATATTATATGAGGTTATTTAATCTTTATCTTACTAATTTATAGAAATATCTTACATTTATATATTAAAATATTGATCACCACTCAGTATGTTACTTTAGAGGCCATCTAACTTCCTCTATGTTTCCTAGCACTGAGGACCTCTCTCTTTTACTTGCCACAGATGCTATTTGCTTTTGTTTTTATCATTACTTCATTAAGTGCTATATCTTCCACTAGACTTGTACTTTAGATTAGGAATCATGTCTGTTTTTAACTATCTTCATATCTCCTATACTTAAGGTCAGTGCTTTGCACATAGCAACAACTAAACTAGTACTTTTTGAGTCAGTGACTATGTGAATGAATGAATATGTTAGTTGTGTCATGTTTTGAATTAAGTTATTAATCATACTTAGATTCTCAGAGTGTAAGAAAGACTAAAGAAAGCTTCTCTTCAGGCATAACAGTTCCCTTCGTACTGGAGATATTAATAAGGTTAGCAGTCTTTACAAGACTGAATATGATCACGATTTGAGACTTAAAATTATGTTTTCACCAACTCCTGTCTGCTGATCATAACAACTCTCTTCAAATAATACATGAAATAAAGAGTTGCTTAGAAAAGGAGAGAAGCAAATATTGCCCTTCATTTTAAGTGTCCTTTAATGGTAAAACACTGTGGAACATTTACATAAATCTGAATGAATAACAAATGGAATTGTTCTGATCCAGGCTACTAAAAGGAAGGCTCAATGAATTAATTGTAAAAAAGGTACAACTTTTTACAATGCAACAATTCGTAACTGGGTTGCAGTTTGCTGAACTATAAATAAAATAGTTTAAATTTAATTTTACATTGGTGTATTAACTAAAATTTTAACACTTCCAGTTGTGATTACAAAGGAAGAGGAGCACATTAACTGCTGTTGAGGTGATTGTTTAATTTTTCATCTGTAGGTTTTCTAAGCAGGTGGAATATTTGAGCTTAGAAATTGTCTTTTTTTCTGATTAAATGTTTTAATAGCACATAAAGCTTCATATGTATCATAAATTATATTGATAAGCATAGTTCTGTTTCCTGGGTCATTTTTTTCTTCTTTTTATCTAGCTCTTACACAATTCCTAGGAGTTTTGGAAAGGTCAAGGAAAATAGCTAAGGAAGAATTAACTCTCTCACTTTTCACATATACCCTCAGATTCATATACTGTAAGATACTTGTGAATGGTCGATGACACTTTAATGGGAGGTGTCAGGAGAAACTCATAATCACTGCTTCAGCCAAGATGAGCGAATTTGTATGACTGAATGCGCAGTGAAAATGTGGGTCCCTTGTACAAAATTAAAATTTTCAAGAGGTCGACAACAGAGCATTAAATAAAGTTAGGGTCCTTTTGAGTCTCAGAGGTTTGCTGTTCATGAAATTGGGGCTTTTGCATTTGTTCTTGCAGTCCTGATACTGGCCAGTGACTCCTTCTTTCATGAATGGTTGCTGATGAAGTGCAGATGAGGAATATATTAGTTTCTGGAAAGGGCTCCATGTGAACCTTAAAACACACTCAATGATCCTTGAGAACATCACAGACATTTCTCAGTAGCAGCAATGGTGACTGGCTGTCTTTGGCTTTCTTTCTGGAAAATGAATGATAATTACAAAATTAATTATAAATTTATTTCAATTATAAAATTATAATAATTATAAAATTTCCATTTCCTCTTTATGAAAATTTTAGTGTGAAATAGCTGAAAATAGTGACATTGTCCAGATTAAAGAAGACATTAATTTGAAAAAGTGTGATGCAGATACTATTGCAGTTGATCTCAATTTCTCTACACACTGGTGTTTCACTGCTTTGGAAACTTTCTTTTTAATCTGGACCATATCATCATATCACCTATAACCAAACTGACATTGTTTTCTTAAAGTTTTTACATATATATGGATTTTGTTTCCTGCTCCACCCCTCAAAAAACATGGAAAAATGTTGGAGAACTGGGCCTCCAACCTGCTAAGTGCTTTGTGAAAAGTATTATGTAGGGTGCTGAAGCTCAAGAAGAAGCTGCAAAATGGTTGTCCCTGTTGCAGGAGAGTGTTACTTTGGAAAACAGATGCTAGAACTACGGTCTTTTAGGGTTAGAGCTAGACCTGAAAAGTTCAATCCAGGAGGTGGAGAAGGGAAGGAAGGTCTAAGAAAAAGGCAATACTTAACATCAGAAGGAGGGCTGCATTGTGAATCACAAGTGATCCCTTTGTTCACGGTAGGGTTCCTTCTCTTAGCATGGTAGGATTCCTCCTCTTACTAGGACAGAGTTTAGCCAAAAGAAAGGGAATTCACAGGAACAAGGCAGGGTTAGCCCATGTTGAGGGGCATGGCTATGGCAAGGTTTCCTTCTCAGCAAGGGAATTGGACTGGAAGCACAATCAGAAAGAGTGCTGTTGAGGAGGCAATGTGATGTCAAAAGTAGGGGCAAATAAAGGCTGAAGCAGGGGGCGGAATGCAAGTTTAGGGTACTAGGAGTAGTGACCCTCAGACAAGGAATGTTCACTCAATATTTACAGAGCACTAGTAGGCATTGTGTCATCAGGTGAGAAATACAGATATAGGATGTACATAGCCTTGCCTCTAGATGTTCAGAGACAATTTCTTTATGCCAGAATAACAGCAGCCTTAGCAGTATACACACAGTAAGTGTAGCAACATACAGGGCACAACACAACCTGGCACCTCAAGGGTGAAGTTTAAGACCTGCATCGTGAAGAATGAGCAGCGGTGAAGCAGATGGAGATTGAGTGGGAGGTCATTCTAGCTAGATGGGATAGCCTGAGCAATGCCAGAGGTATGAATCAGCGTGGCATGGCATGGAACTAAAGTCAACTCAATATTTGCTTTAGGTTAGCTTTGCAGGCAAAGAATGGGAGGAAATAAAAGTAGAGAGATTAACAGGTCAAGTCATGGAAGGACTTAGATGTTATACTGATAGGCTTTGACTCTTGACATTTGAAAGTTTTTTGTTTTTTTTTTTTTGACGGAGTCTTGCTCTGTTGCCCAGGCTGGAGTGCAGTCGCGTGGTCTCGGCTCACTGCAAACTCCACCCACACCCTGGGTTCACGCCATTGTCCAACCTCAGCCTCCTGTGTAGCTGGGACTACAGGCGCCCGCCACCATGCCTGGTTAATTTTTTTTTTTTTTTTTTTTTTTTGTATTTTTAGTAGAGACAGGGTTTCACAGTGTTAGGTAGGATGGTCTCAATCTCCTGACCTTGTGATCCTCCCGCCTCGGTCTCCCAAAGTGGAAAGGTTTTTTTAAAGGAGGCTGGTAAGACAAAGTTGCACTATAGATTTAACCACAGGTAAAATGAAGAGAGATCTGAGTGGGGTCATCTGGAGGCAGAGAGACTAGCTAGGAGGCTACAGCAATAATCTGGTGAGAATAGATGATGGCCTGGACCAGGGGAGTAATGATGGAATTGGAGAGGAAAGGGCTTATGTGGGAGGTATTTAGGAGGTAAACATATTAATTATTAACCAACTTGGTTTGTGGTTTAATGATGAGCTTGAAGGCAAAGGAATAAATAACTTTATCTGAGTGGTTCTGAGAAAGGTAGCACTAAATATACCCTTCAGGAAGGGTGCGAATTAATTTTAATGGCATGCAACAAGTTACTCAGGATAGGCTGTTCTGTTGCGGTAAAAAAAACTACAATGTTCAGTGGTTTCCCAGAAAGTTTATTTCTCATTTATGGAGTGCACACCGTATGTGGATTCTGAGCGGTCTCTGTCCCCACAAGCACTCAGGGACCCAGACCGCCACAGATATCACCATTTTTCACCTGCACCAACGAAGACGTCCCAGGACAGGGTGAGAAAAGCCTGGACAACTGTCCATGATCATTTCCTACCTCAGTCAAGAAGTAATACACATTTCTTTTACTTACATTTCTTTGGTCAGAACTAGCCATGTGTTTTCATCCAACCTACGGTTTACACAGAAGCCTAAAACATGCAATCTTCAGTATGCCCAGAGGGAAAGGAGAACCAAATATTGATGACAACTAGTGAATTACATTAGAAGTATAAGGTAAGCCTAACCTTTTATGGTTTACAGTTGTGTAGCATAAGATGGGCTAAATTAGCCATAGGAAGATGTGCAGAACACTCACTTTGTGGTAACTTGCTCTGTGCTAGGCCCTGTGCTAAGCTTGCATAAATGAAAACAATTAGTTATTTAATCCTCAAAACCAACCAAGCACGCAGAAACTCTTACGGACTTTTAAAACTTTAAACTTGGAAGAAAACTTTCAAATGATCATTCTAGAATAAATCCTTTATTTTTTAGATGAAGAAAGTGACATCAAGAGAGTGAAATGATGAGTCCAAGATAACAGAAAATGAGTCACAGAGTTAAGAATCAAACTCACGATAAACTGTAAGTGTGTTTTTCCTCCATCACATTAATTCTCTGTTTTGTGATTTGGATCCCAAAGATTACACAAAGGCTCTGTGACATTTCCATATAGCTGGACAAAATTACAGTAAAGAAGAGAATAAAGTCACGTTTAAATTATTATATTTATTCAATATTTGTATAATCTCTTGTGGTTTACTCAAGACAACTCAGCTGGGTATAAAGGTTTTATGAATACCCCAATAATAATGCATTATTTGCATGCTTTATGGCTTGTGTTCTACCTGTACTAAAAACTTTATGGTTTGGTGGGGTTAGGAAAGGGGGCAGGTTTTCCCTTGTTAACCTTATAAAAGCTTATTGACAAAGTCTTTGTCTTTATGATTTACAGTTATATAATTTGGAGTCACATCAAATTCTATCTAACATATATATATGGTTAAAAGAATATACAGCACACTTCTGGCCAGCTCTCTTGGTTTAGTGCATTATTTATTTAAGCTAAGAATCGCCCCTGTGAGGCCCTTACTATTTTGCTTTAAAATTCACAGCAAAAAATGTAAAATAAAAATAAATTTTAATTATTGAAGGTCTAAAATGATTAGTTGCATTATTAAACTTGCATTTTTGTTGACATATATAATTACTGATGAAAGTAGAGTTAATGACAAAGTTAGTTTACTTTCTGGTTGCAAAATTTAACAAGCATTATATTAAAGTCTACAGCCAAGAATGAAATTTAATTTACCTATAATTTTTAAAATATATAAATAAAACCAAAAGAGAGAGAGAGATGTTATGAAATTAGACAAAAAAAGGGCTTTTATGAATGACAAATAACCTTTTAAGACAAGTATGAGTGAAAATTAGACTATACTTCTCAAACATTGGTGCTTACCTCTAAGGAGTGTGCTGGAAGTAGTCAAAGCAAAAGAGTAAACTATCAAATAAGCACATTTAATCTTTCTGGAAAATCTATTACAAACAAATGTTTAAAAATTTAACACATATTTTTTATATTATGATAAACTTGGATATATTATGGGGTAGAATGCAAAAGTTGCATGACTATATATAATAAAGAAGGAATTATGGAAGCAGGCCACTTTAGTCTTCCCTGAGGATATACATTGGTTTCCTCTGCCAATAAGGTTATGATAGCAATAAACTCTGAGAAAGAGATGAAGAGAGTTTGCATATTAGAGAAACAAAAGTATATTGTTCAGGGTTCTCCAGAGAAACAGAGTCAATAGGAGATATATATATTTCTTTACTTATCGAGATTGGCCTGTGTGATTATGGAGGCTGAGAAGTCCCAATATATACAGTTGGTAAGTTGGAGATCCAGGAGAACCAATGGTATAGTTCCAGTCCAGGTGTGAGGGCCAGAGAAACAGGGGAGCTGATGGTGTAAGTTCCAGTCTGAGATCAAGTTCACAAACAGGAGAATATTGATGTCCTAGCTCAGAGACAGGCAGAGAGAGTGAATTCTCCCTTATTCATCCTTTTGTTCTAGTCAGGTCTTCAACTGATTGGATGAGGCCCACCTACATTTAGAAGGGCAGTCTGCTTGACTCAGATTACCCATTCAATTGTTAATCTCATTCAGAAGCACACTCACAGTTACACCCAGAATAATGTTTGGCCAAGTATCTGGACACCCCATGGCCCAGTGAAGTTTCCACATAAAATTAATCATCACCAAGTTGGTGATTTTATCTTGTCTTTAGACTTCAGAACAAATAACTCAAATGATATGTCAGCAGGCAAAGAGGAGAAAAAGTTAAGTATTATTATCCTTCTTTGAACATGAAGTGGGCAATAACATGGCTAAATGATGAGACGTTATGTGCAGTTACAAAGTTGGCAGAGCATCTAGGAACCTCCTATTTTTATAATAGAGGACAGAGGGTTGGCTGAGCCTTAGGTCACAATGCTCTTAAGATACCTGTCATGATGATGATTTTAGTCCTGCCTACTTCTACAGAATCTATGACCTCCATTCGTCTTGGCATAGATTTAAATTGTATACCGAAGCTGTGAAATAGAGAGACAGATTTAATAATCATTCCACTTAGTAAGTACAGCTGGGGCAGGTAATTAAACAGGTTTTCTCTTGCCAGGAGGCCTAAAGCAATGTAGCTAAGAGTCTCAGTCACACAACCAGACTGAGATGGAAAGCTAATATCAAACAGGCCTTCTCTATGCAGGCCCATGTCACATCACCGTTCTTAGCAAACAGAAGTTATTAAAGGGGCCTAGTCAAGCCACCAGAGGCCTGCCACATCTTCAGTCTCAGAAATATTGGAATTATAGGCTGAAAAATGAAAAGGGACTAGAATAATTGAAAAAATATTGTCATTGTTTTTGAGGTGGTTGTCATCTAATAAAATATGCTCATTGTGAATCTTTGACATTGTAGTGATATGAATAACTATTCAAACATTGAGGAAATAATTTCTTAATTTTAAAATATTTCTGATTTCTTTTTGCATTAAGGAAACACTGTAATTAATGGATACGAGACATATTAGCCTAATTGTGTGTAGGTAGAATAGCCACAAAATTCTCATAAAGAATATCGAAATTGACATCAGTAAAATAGTGCTTTATTAGGAAAGGGTTTTCTTTTGCTTTGAGGATGGAAAGTCAAAATTTAATTAAAAATACATTAAATATATCTTCAAGTTTGTTAACAATTTTCATCCACTTATTGTTCCAGTTATACATTGCTGTATCATAACTTTGTGTGTTAAAATAGCAAACATTTCATTATACCTCAGAATTTTGGGGGTTTAGAAATTTGAGTAGTGCTCAGTTGAGTGACCATAAGCTGTAAAATGCACTGACCTAGGTCACTTGGTGGAATCAGCTGATAACTGGACTGGTCTAGAGAGTCTAAGACACTTAGTGCTTTGGTGGGATAAGTGGAAGTTTGAGCACAACTGGGCCATTTTCCTTCTCCACAGTGTCTCAGGGCCTCTTTCTTTGATCTCTCCAGCTCAGTAATCAGATGGCTCTTTCCTAGGTAGCCCTAGGTTTCAATAAGAAGACACGGGAAGTGGAGGCTGCCAGTCGCTTAATTCCTGGGCCCATAAACTAGCACAAAATCACTTCTGCCATATTCTCTTGATCAAGCATTCACAGAGGTTTCTCAGATTCAAGGGAAGGGGACATAGACCCTATCTCTTAATGGGAGAAATCCCGAAGTATTTGTGACAACGTCTAATCTTGACAGTGTAGACAGTCCCTACTTATAATGATTCAACTCATGATTTTTAGACTTTATGATGTTGTGCAAGCAATATGTATTCAGTAGAAACCATACTTTGAATTTTTATTTTTTTCCCTGGCTAGTGATATGTGGTATGACACTTTTACATGAGATAATCAACAGTTTCTTATAAAATAGGCTTTGTATTAAATGATTTTTGCCCAACTGTAGGCTAATGTAAGTGTTCTGACCACACTTAAAGTAAGTTGGCTAAGCTATGATGTTTTGTAGGTTTAGATGTATCAAAAACATTTTTGATTAACAAACTTTTCAATTTACCACGTGTTTATGAAGACATAACCCCATTGTTAAGTTGAGGAGCATCTGTATTTTCTATGAACATGATAGAGATTAGATAGTAAAACTTGGCTTATACCCCAAGGGAAAAAACACACAATTTTATTCAGGAAATATTAAAAAGAAACCTTCTGTATACCATTAAAAAACTTTTCTGGTTTGTTTGGTATATTTCACGATGAGTTGTTTAAAAGAAAGATTCTTTAAACGAGAGTCTGGACTACAAAATTGTCTAAAGATTATCATACATACATCATACATTAGTGAAACATTATATGAATTCCTACTATGTGCTAGACTATAAACTCAGGGACTGACTTATGCTCTAGTGGGGAAAATGAACCTATAAATAAACAGATAACAATTTTTATTGATGTGCCATAGCAGAGGTATAGGAAAAAGGTTGAGGAGAGAACTCACAAGTTACCATATAGGATAAGGTTATAGAGAAAACATTTTTTACATGTATGAAGTATTCCATATGTAGTTCCAAAACAGAGTTATTTATTCAATCCTCAGAACACACCTTCTAAGTTGGGCACTTATATAGCCTTAGTAGAGCTGAGGAAATTGGGAGCTAATGTGACTTATCCTAGTTCACTTTGCTGCTATATGGTGGAAGCAAATTTGGGCCCATTGCTTCCAGAGATACCCTTTCATATTATGATGACAGCCACATATATCTCCTTCTTTCTCACCTATACTAAAAGATAAAATTTGGTCATAGGTTGAGGGGCATCTGATAGTTTGTACATTCTTGCTTATGAGTTTTTAGTACAGAAGAACTTAACCAAAATATCTAAGAACTGGTCTATACAGACAGCCTAAAGTTTACCACCGTGGCCATGCACTCATGTGTTTATTCCTTTAGTATGATAGTAAGCATTTAAGGCAGGCAACTGTGGTACAGCTTGGGGCAGCAGTGGTGTGTGTGATGCTGCTCGTACTGGCTGCGGAAAGCAGATTGCTAGATATTCTTGAAGTTTTCGAGCTAGTTGTCAAATGGTTAGTAGCTTAAAATTGGCTGTGGTACTTGTATTTATATCACAAAAAATCCACAACTGCTACAACTCAGGCTTTCTGTTGTTGTTAATGGAAACTCTCTTGAGGAAGGAGAAGTTGTGCAGGGTGCTAGGTACAAGAATAAAGTTATTCCAGATAAAGGAACAGCAGGCATGCTTTGGTTGACAAGAACCCAGGGGATGTTTAAGGAGAAGGATGAATAGACCAGGAGACTCCTGCACAGAATGTGAATAGAAAAATAGAAGGAGGTGGGGCTGCAAAAGCAATCTCTTCAATCCCATTAAGTCTTGAGAGTAGTTTTGTTTATATATGACATTTGTATAATTTCTTTGCCAGTTTCAAAATACAAACTAATTTATGTATCCCCCTTAACAACAGGTATTGTTGTTAAGTTTTACAGTAAGTAAAATGAATTGAGATTCAAAGA